AGATTCGACCGGTAGCGAAAACCGGTTCTTCCAACGTGTCCCGTTCACATGGGACAAGCATTAACTGCCTCCCCGAATTGGAGGTAGAACTTGGTTGAATGTTCCTTACCTCTCGGGAGCAGGGCAAATGGGGAGATTTCCCGTACCTTACTGCGCGATTTACTTAATTTCAGTTACTGCTCGCTGGACTGTCAGCGAAATAATCGCGCTGATAAATGTCTGGGGATGTGATAGCATCCCCCAAAAATTAGATAGAACTGTACAAGATACGGAAATTATAGACAAATACAGACAAGGTTATCTGATGCTAGGTATTCTAGAAATATCGTTCAAATTAAAGCTAAAGTTAAGACAAGTGCATATAGGCTTCAACGCGAAAAGGGACTCAGTATCTTTTGAATGATTTTTTTTAAAAAAATTTAAGCATTTTCATCTACTTTTTATGAATATTATTAAATAGTTTTGTGAGACAAAATAATTTTAAGCTGAAAAAGCGTTTTTGCTAGTATTTTTTTAATTTAAATTTTTGAAAAAAAATTTTACAATTAAAATGTCTTTCTTCTCCTACAATTTTCAATGTCTCCCCCAGTTTTTTATTCTATTTATTAGAGTGTTCTTAATAACTTCCAAGGAATGATTTTGCAATTAATGAATTGGTTTCTGAGGGGGGAAAATACACTTTTATCTAAAATCTTTAAAACAAATATGATCTCAGTCACGTTTTCATTTCAAATAATTTTTTCCTTTCAGTATTTTGAAAAACCCATCCTTGTTTCTATAAAGTATATACACTCATGTCCAAAATTATGTTTACATGCATAAATTCACGGATTTCTCAGAGACTATGACTTATAATTTAATGAATTTTCGTGGAATCATACATAACATGATGACACATAAATGCAAAAGAAAAAATTGAAGATCACCTCATATGATATAAAATTGTAGCATGAAACAATAAAAATGGTAATAAAGTGTGACAAAGAGAGTTAAGAAAAAAAGGAATGATTCAGAAAAAGAATTAAGTCTTACGAATTTAATATGGAATATGATCTCCCCTGACTTGTACACACATATCACAACGTGTTTTAAGGCTGGAAATAACGTTGTTAACCACAGTTTGGGGAATTAATCTCCACTCTTCCAGCAATGCCGTCTTCAGAGCATTTACATCTCTAGGAGGAGGATGTATACGTGAAATTGCTCTTCCAAGGTAGTCCCATAAGTTCTCTATCGGGTTAAGGTCAGGAGAGTTTGGTGGCCAAGGTATTCGCTTAATGTCTTCACTTTCAAGGAATTCATCAACGAGGTTTGCTCGATGTGGACGGGCATTATAATCCATAAATAAAAAGTCAGGTCCATATGCACCCCTGAAAAGTCTTACATAAGGATCTAAGACCTCATCTCGATATATCTGGCCTGTCACAGATCCGCTGCTGAACACGTGTAGGGCGTACGTCCATCGATCATTATTCCATTCCCCCATACCATCACACCTCCACTACCGAAACGGTCACGTTCCACAATGTTCGAAGGATCATTTCGTGTTCTGACTCCCTCCAGATGTAAACACGTTTAGAATCACCAGTTAAACTAAACCGCGACTCATCAGTAAAGAGAAAATGGGACCATTGATGTTCAGTCCAGTTTTGATGTTCTTTACACCAATTAAAGCGATCCCTCTTTTTCTGTGAAGACAGTAAAACACATACCCTTGGCTTTCTGGCATAAAGGCCTTTTTCATTAAGCCTTCTGTATATTTTTTGCCGTGATGCAACAGTTCCAGTGGCGGCTGCAAGCTCTGAACTTAACTGGCGAAAAGTAGCCTTTCTGTTACGACGGGCAGTTAATGCCAGATACCGATCTTCAGAAGCAGTTGTCATTTGTTTCCGACCTTGTCCAGGCCTCCTTACAACACTTCTATCATTTTGAAACTGTTTCCATAGCTTAGAGACTGTCTGTCTTGAAATATTCAGACATGTGGCTGTTTCCATGATTGACTGCCCTGCTTCTAAACGGCTGATAATTCGCCACTTTACAGATTCTTCCAAATGATACTTCGAAGCCATAACAAACCGCTTTGAGTCCCTACACACTGAAATCAAACGCTATGTTGCAGAAATTCACTCAAATATTCAGTTTGCGCAAAGCGCTTGATTCACCCTTGGATGACGTAACGCCTAGATTTTCATATCACAAACCGTTTGATTACTTTTGATTGGATAATGCTAATTAGGCTTGGTTTTCACACATTCCCTGCAAATACGGATCACATTGATTCGATATTTCATTGAATATCATCATTTTTGGGTATGTAAAGATAATTTTGGACATGAGTGTAATTTTATATAAGCAATAAAAATAACAAAAAATTTAGTCCATACCTGTATATGTTTTAGGACTTTAAGTAAAAGGATTTATTGAAGAAAGTGCAAAAGGTTTCTCAGTTTGCATTTGCAGTTTAAAGAATACAAACTGTCTAAATAGATATTTAATCATTTCAAATCTTTAAAATTTTATTGCTGAATTTCGATACACACATATGTATATAAATCAAACCTAGTGCTATTTATTCAATTGGTAAATATAAACATAAATTACAAACCTTTTTTAAAACCTTATGTGGCCAGAAAAATTGCAAAAACTCATAAAACGCAAGCAGAATTCTTATTTACCTGTTTTTGTTTTGTAAAACACGTTCAAAACAACTTTAATACATTAATTAATTATAATATTGTTGCTTGCGTACGGGTTTGTCATAGATTGATAATAGTTCGTAAATGATTGTCATTTCACTCAAATCCGACGATAGCTTAATTAAATTTATTTTATCATCATAAACACTTCAAAGTTCTGGAATTTTCCACAGAAATACTCGTACAAGTGTTTAGAATATCACTAAGTATAATCAGTAGTTATGCTTCAATCTAATAAGAACGTTAAACACAACGGAATGCAAAACGCATCTTAAGAGAAAGTTAACTCAGAAATATCTCCTATCTCACGCTGAACTAACAACTGGTAATAATAACAACATGTATAGCATAAATAATGTCATAAAAATAGTGTGGTATAATGAGATTACTTTGAAACCGATGTTTCGAATTGATGCCCAAGAAGAACCAATATTTCCCATTCTGCTTTATTGCACATCTTTCAAAAAAGTAAAAAAAAAAATCATCCGATTAATTTCCTTTATCATTTTTTTTTTAATGCGAAAGTTTGTTTTATAAGCTGTGAAAATGTCGGAAGTTTGTAACCGATATATTTTTAGATATGAAATTTTAAAATTAATGGGCGTCAAAAAGTCTAAAAATATGAACGATTTTCAAAAATTCTCCCAAAATATTTTTTTTTTTTTAAATTTACGCTAAAAATTTCATTTAATTTTTTTTCTTCCACAGTGTGTTATGGTGCAAACTATAATACTCTGAGATTCTCAGTTTATTTGTTAATATTTGCAAAAGTCGTTTCAACTTTAAATTTGAAAAAAATCTAATCCTCTAAAAATCAAAAGCGTGACACCACATTCACAAGCAGTGTATGTACAAAGTTTGAGTTCTATATTTTATCGGGAAGCAGTTTAAAAATCCATTACCATCTTTTAACCATAGCGACAAGCACCAAGAGTGAACTAAATAACAGCTTATAAATTAATAATAATAATTAAAAAGCATATATTTTTCAGGAACCATTACGAAAGTTCAGGTACCAGTTGCGAAAGTACAGATTACAAAATTAATAACAGTAAACCACGTTAGAAATGTGCAAACAGTATTAGAAATCTGCCAATTCGGAGACGTGATTGTTCACAGAGGCTTTAGGTGTAAAGGGGAAGGAAGACGGTGGTCTTCTGAACGGGTCCTAAGGACGAAACTCTTTCATGTCTCCTTTTTCTCCCCTTGCTAACGGCAGCTGTGCGAAGGAGCGTTGCATGTGAACGGGGCTTTATAGTAGTTATGTATGATCTATTTGATTAATTTCAGTGCATCTGTCTTTTTGTATGAACACATATGCTCGTCTGTTCCATCGATTGCTTTTGGCCCTCAGGTTCAAAATAAAACAGCCAGATCCATGAAAACATTCTGGAAAATTCCAAGAGAAACTTTGCAGAAGGTCATCATACAGGTTCTTCTTGATTTGCATCATCTTCCTTGTCAAGAGCCATAGAACCCAGTTATCAAAAGTTTTTCTGTAAGCCTAGCAGTTGGATAGATCCTTACGTCACACCTGTGTGTTCCATGATCTGTTTTGTGGTAATGCATCTGTTATTATTTATGAGTTCGTCAATTATTGATACTGATCGTCAATTTTATCAGCTGTGACAATTGATGCTCTATCTGACTATGACTGAACCTGGGTGTAACAGCTACCAACTCAGAACTCCTGAAACCTTCAATACACATTCATGCTATTTACTGCATTATCTCCAAAGGCTGGATATAGCTTATTGCGAATAGAAGTGGCTGAGTTATTTCCGGATTTATAGAGGAATTCGATCACTGCACTCTGGTGTAGTGTGATCTCACGTTAATTATCCATGATTGCTGACTTGCAATAGCAAGGAAAAAAAGACTTAGGTATGCGTTAGGTGGTAAGCGACATACACTTCCATGTACAAAACTTCATCTCTCTAGTGTTTACCATTACTGGATAGTATATTTTGCGTTAATTTTTAATCTACTTTTGCATTACTTATGCTTATTGCAATCTCATTGGCTTCTCATCTATTTATCTTCGGCATTAACCGACATGCTCACAAAAAAAGAGCGCAGTTTAGTTGAGAAATTAGCAAACCATTTTCTTCCCCCAATCATTGATTTCAAACTTGCAAACACAACTCATTTAGTTCTTTAATGATTTGATCATTTATTTAAAATTAATATCAATAAAAGCCTTAATTTTACATGTTATTGTCAAACTAGCTTACTTTCCTTGCAGCAGTTACAAACATTATATGGCATAAAATTAAGGAAAAGAGGGATTTTTTATAAACTTACAGAATGAAGTTCAACTTCCCACAGCTTCCTGGCCCTCTCCATCTCCGTATAGCCGTTCCTTCTAAAAGTGTCTATGTACTGGTCGAGGTGCAGAGACCTCAGCCACTCGCCAACGGATTCTGGAGACTGACCTTCACTGATCGGTCGCAAGGCGGGAAGACTATGACACGATTCGAGAATCTTCTGTCGGTGATCTTTATTTGTGATGTTCATTTCCAAGAGGTCTTCGTCTTCCAGAATGTTACCTCCCTGTGAAGTCAAAGTACATACTTACTGTTGTGTTGTTCATGACAAAGATAAATATATAATTAATAGAAAAGGTAAATGTCCACATATTTTAATTGCGCAATAAGTAAGATTTAGGAACTTGGCTAAAACACTGGAAAGTTTATTATCTTTGTGGCAACCTTCGGTCACAATATGTTTTACATTGAAAAACCAGTAGGTCCAATCGTTTAGACTAAGTTTGGCTATTGATCATGTTGCAGTTCTACTATTAGTCCATGATGCTACCCTGACAGAATGTTATTTCTGTTGTTAACTCTAGCAGCGGTATTTTTTATGATCACATTTGCAGATGGATTTTTCGTCTCAGTTCCATCTTTGGAAAAGGAATCAAAATTTTCGGAACTTCGATGAAGGATAAGTGTTGCAAAATTGTCCATCCCTCCTCTTAGGCAGACAGCCCTAGAGGCTTTGCCATAACCATATAAGCTAAGCCCTCCTTCCAACATGCTTTCGTGGTGTAAAGGTAGCACACTTGGTGCGTATTCGAGAGGTTCAGGTTTCGAGTCCCGGCAGAGGCATCGCTTATTTTTCATGCACTCCTGCTACAAAATAACATAATCACTCTACAAGCTTTACTTACAACAGATTCAAATTGGCAGCCTTTATGATAGCGTTATAATAAAAGAAATAGCCATTTCTAACACTAGAAATATTTCAAGCTATGACAGGAAGCTCGGCATCCCCCCTCAAATTTAACTTAACTTACATCTCGTATCTCTGATAAGCTAATTTTACACTAGTTCTGATTTCAGAATGAAAGAGGGCAAAAGCACTGATTACAAAGCAGCAGCATATGCATTAACTCTAATATAAATGTACTTTGCTTTTTTATTATTTTCTAATTATAATTCTCTTGTTTTCATACGTCTGAGATGGGGAGAATTTGGGAAATTGGTAGAAAAGGAAAATGAAATTGATTAACAAACAGAAAAATAAATAAGACCTTGCATATGTTATTACTTTTTTTTTTTTTTTTTTTTTTTTTTTGCCATTTTAAATATTTGCGGAAACGATATATCCATGCAGACAGAAATAAATATCGTAAAACCTTGTTCGAATTTCTCAAAACTATAAAAAAAGTTTAACAAATTTCCGTTTGGTAAATGAGCGAAATCTTGTAATGGAAGGAATAAGTGTACACTGTGTGAGCACTGAGTCAACAGTTCTTTTCTTTCTCACTGTAGGATTATGGATAATCATTCAGTTTAGAGGCACTCCTACATACGACACATGTGAATAATTCGCAAAGTAGGGACACTTCCGTACAAGAAACATTCATTTCTGGGTGAGTAATATAGTTTAGTGAACTTCCGCACAAAATCACATCTTCTTAATTACTATCGATAACTTGGGAAAGCGAATTATTTATGTGCTTTACAAACTTTTAAGCTACTGGACTACATAAATATGGATTTTAACAAAATGCTTATATTATATATGTTTTAACGCGTTAAAAATAATAAATACTTGAAGGAGTCAGATACCTTTAAAAAGTGTCAAAATATCAAAAATTTAACATATTTTAAAGCTCAGTATCTGACTAGTTTATGAGCATGAAATTTTGCGTACTTATTTCGATATCCTTGATGATGCATTTGCTACTTTTATTTTATGTTCCAAATATTACAGTATTTTACAAAAATACATTTTTTGTCATCCACGCCATTGTAATATGTACTGTGGGCAGCATATACATAAATGAATCAGTATTTTCAGCTTATTTGTTTTTCAAAATAGAAAAATATAATATACAATTAAAGTGACCTATAAAAACAATATAATTACATTTTCTTAAAAGTAATATTTTAAATTCCTTATGAGATGTAAAGGAAATATTGTAATCACGAAAAATTTCGGGTATCATATTTCAACAGAAATATCCATTTTGACGGTTCGTGAATCCATTTGGATGATTTTCTTTGCTTGATATCTGTACATAGGCACAGAATAAATGACTCTTTCTTTTTCCAAAATAGATTTAAAATGGATTTTTCATGACATCTGTACGTACGCATGTACACATGTATCTGGCATAAGCAAAGTTAGACCTTCTATTTAAAGTTGCAATTACTAATATTATTAAGGAATTGCCTCGTTTAGATTCCTATTTTAAATTAATTTTGGGTGTTTTATGTTTAATTTACTTCATCTTGCAGCTATAGCGCAGGACACGTAAAATTTGTTTTTGGCATATTACTTAGTTTTTCTATACAGGTTGGGGCAAATAAAAGTGGTCCGGAGAACAGAATTCCAGGTTACAAAGAAACACAACAAAGTATATAAAAGTGGGCCGGACGAGTGGATACGTTTGGACGTGAATGTATGCATATAAACATAACACGTGAAGCGCACATTACGTCTACATACACCACGTTATCCAAACCAATTCAGAGCTCAGTGTGGGCTGTGTCAGTATAAGTTGAGCAGTGCAAAGGTGAAGATTATACTCACAGTGCAGCAGAGGGTGTTCGTTGTGGAAAGTTGCGTTACAACAAAGTAGCGGAAACAATGTGGTCAGTTGTTTGCTCATATGTTTACCGGTATCAAAGTGCCATGCAACGATTAGTCTGAAAATGGCGTCAAACAGGATCCGTTTTGAACAAATCAAAAAACATTCCCAAATGTCTCCGAACACCAGAAAATGTGGCTATAGTTTAGCAGAAAAGGCTTGCTTCAGAGTCTTACCAAATCAACCCGACGCCTGTCGAAAGAGACCGACATATCACGTCGATCATGCGGACGAATACTTCAGCTGGACCTGAAAAGGCATCCCTATAGAATATGCGTTGTTCATGCATTAAAACCAGCAGATATTCCTCAGCGCCTCCAGTTTTATGAGTGGCTGACCACTGAGATAACAGTGAATGACTTGGACATGGATCTTTTCTTTCTTTCTGATGAAGACTGGTTTCACCTGAGTGGTTATGACAACTTACAGAATCACAGGTTCTGGGCAGCGGAGAATCCGTATACCTTGCACCAAGCACTATTGAATGATCGGAAAGTTGAGGTTTGGTGTGCAGTGTGTGCATGCCGAATTATTGGTCCCATCTTCTTTCATCAGAAGCTGAATTCGGAGTGTTGCATTTCCACTATTTTTAATCCATTTGTGGCAACATTAACTGAGGAGGAAAACACCTACAGTTGCTTCTAACAGGATGGAGCAACTACCCATACAGCTAGCCGCACCTTTGATCACATTTACACAATTTTCACGTCTGACAGAGTTGTTAACACAGGTCAGTCTGGTCCTGGCCCTAGCTGATCAGGTCACTTGATCTGTCAGTGTGCGATTACATTTTGTGGGGAGCCATCAAGTCTAAAGTGCATCGCAACAGTCCTTATAGTCTTCAAGAACTGCAGCAGAGCGTTTCGGATGAGATTGCAGCAACTCCTGCACTCCAGCATCGATCTGCCTTTAGTAACTTGCTGACCAGGGTTCAAAAGTGCAAGAGATGAATTTTGGTCAATTTCAACATCTGCTTTAGTTAGGTTAATACTATATCTCCTTTCCTTTGCTTTTTTTTTCAACCTGGAACTTTGTTTTTAACCTGGACAGGCCACTTTTATTTGCCCCACCCTCTCTCTCTCTCTCTCTCTATATATATATATATATATATATACCCCCACCACCTAACCAGGCTTAAAAAGCCTTTACCCTGCCTTTATTTTCGCAATCGTTGGTCATAGTCATATGCTTTATATTACAGAAATGTTTTAAAGGAAGAAAATATTCATGTTTTGATAATGGCAAATTAAAAGAAAAAAAATTAATTTTCGACAAATAATGAAATCTAACTTTTAATGTAGTCATCCGTTTTTTATACTTGTATTTGGAAAATTTTATAATCATTATAAAAATTTAAATTAAGAATTACTTCTAATTTTATTTCTAATTACACTTCTGCAATTTATTTTGTCGACTCCGTACGACAAAAATTGATCCGGATATTCAATTTCAAAATGTGCAATTTTTGATGTCATTTTGAATTTGCCTTGAGTGATCGGCCACTTACTTTAGCATAACTTGAGGAAATAAGTTTTAAATGGTGTATTTGGTGTTGGTGTATTTAATTATGGCAAAGCACACTAGGGCTATCTGCCTAAGGGGAGGGATGCCTTCGTGGAGGACTTTCTAAGGGAAACTGGCTCGTATACACGTTACACATGAGGAAACCACGAAAACGCCCATGCAGCCAGCCCGTTCGCGGGATTCGAACCTCAGACCGAACTACCAGTGTTCAGCGACTTTACCGCTCGGCCGCTGGTGGTCAAGTTTTAAATGAAGTGCAGCAAAAAAATGTGTGTAATTTAATACGAAGTCACGTGGAATGCAAATTCTAATCTAGAAGTCATGCGTCCGCATCAGAATTTTAATTTAAATTTTCATTTTATTTATTTATTTTTATTTTCGTTATTCCAAAATTGATTATTTTCCAACATAATTAAATATAATTCTAAATTTTGCATGAAAGGCACAATAGTTGTTCATTTTAAATTCATTGACGGTTTATACAGAAGATTACGCAATGTTTTGTCACAAACCCCATGGAAGATCAGCTCACCTTCTTGTTATATGTTTACTCAAGAAAGAATTATAAGACCAGATCGCTACTCATATATCATTCCTAGAATCCGCAAGCTTTCAAGAAATACAGCATGCAAAAGAGTTGGCTAAATGTAATGCGAAAGTCCAACATGAAGGCTTTGGTCATTATTTTGCTCGTTGAATAGATCAATGAGGTCTTTGGTCTTTCTGAGTGATGATATACATTTTCGAAAAAAATCTGCCAGTTATTCCTTCTGGTTAAAAGATAATGTTCTTGCTCATCCCTCTGCTCATAATGACAACTTACTGGAGGAACTCGTGTTCATTTATGTCACGTTCCTTCCTTTTAACATCATTCCACTATTCCAGTCCATAAATCAGTAAGTCATTTTGAAGTTTAAAAGGCTTTGCACCAAAACATTGTTTTAGCGAGGATTCGAAGTGACCATAGGAATAAACCTTACCTCCCGAAAAGTTTTTGAAAAACAATTTACAATTAGTGAGCAGCCTCAAGATCATTTATAAAGCTTGATATGTGAGTTGCCAAAAAAATCTTCAATTCTGTTTCGAAAATACTATGATCTGACTGCGTTCCTGGATATGACCCTGAGAAGTTTTTCATATGAACAAGAGCTGCTACTTGTCGATAAAACTGTGTCTTTAGTAAAGCCCATGGAATTGGATTGAAGGTAAAAAAGAATGACATTTATGAAAGTAGAGGAACATGGCCGGAAGATGATTACTTAAGACCTATGAATTTGCATTGCGAGCAATTTGTAAGAGGTTATGGAGAAAACCTTGCCTGATAAGGAAGAGAAAAATGGAGAGGAATCCCTCACTTCAAATAAAATTAGGGGATGTGTAAAGTCGGGAAGGAGCATAAAATTTCGTGGGAAGGCACCAATGGAATAGGCTGTAGCTGTGCAGGGGAAGAATCTGTTTAACGATAATGTGCTTCGAAATCTTCGGAAAGTAGCCGTCACAATTGTCATTCAATAGGTACCTCTTTAAAGTCATATATGGGGAAAAAAATAAAGGAAAGGAAATGGGAAAAAAAGATTCCAGTGAGCCTGCAAATAGCAGTGGTTTCGTTAATGCTCTTACTCCTTTTTCTTCTCCGTTAATTTTCCAATTTAAAAGTAAAGTGCAAGCTAATTAAATTTCTTTACTTCTTACGGGGAAATTAGCCTTGATATACAAGTGCTTCCTATTACAAGCACGTTTCCGGAGAGAATTACTCTCGCAAACCAAGGTACCACTGTATAGCTTAAATTAAGACTTAGACTTAATTAGACTAAGATGCTTAAAGGAGCATAAGAACAGGGATAAATTATGACAAATATCTCTCACCAGGAAATCTATATCATCAAATCCATTGTCCATGAGGCTGTTTGTGTAAATTGCTAAGTCGAGGCTCTTCAACCACTCTTCTACCGTGCTGAAACTCGATGTGAAGGATGACCTTTGAAATTCTGTATGAAAGAGAGAGAAAGCAGGGACACTTTTATCAAATCTTAGAAAATATTTTTAATTTAATTATTAAGGTCTATTAAATTCATGCCGTTGATATAAAAATTCCATGAAGAACCATTTTTTAAATATTCTTCGAAATAAAATAAACAAATATCGTTTTCAATACATAATTTGTAATGCAAGTTATTTCAAATATAGTAAAACACGAAGGAGACATAAATATTTCCAAACATACAATGTTTAAAGTATGAAGTGTTTTAAAAAGTAATAATTATCTTTCACTAAAGAATAAGACCATTTATATGTACTTAAAAAAATGTTGATATCAATAAAATTCGAATTTTTCATTGACGCAAGGATTATTTAGATTTATATGTATGTAATTTACATGTACATTGCAATAAGACAACTAAATTATCGAATATGGGATGAATGACTAGAAAAAATCCCGTATTGAAGTCTAAAATAACGCTAACTTCGTTTGAAGTACTTAAAGCAACCTTTAGTAAACTCTTTTCCTGGTGGTCCGAATTCTTGTTTCTTCATAACTTCAGTCCTTTTCCGTCTAAGATTACAGTCAGCTTCAACAGTTCCTTTAAGAACACTTTGGTGTTTAAATCGATGATCGTTTCAAATCAGAAAACCCTCGAATATGAGATTTGCTGATCCGCATTAAACATTGCCTTCTAGTGCCTCTAAATTGGAAAAAAAATCTGTTTTTCCATTTCTTATAATTTAAGACATTGACATAAATTCTTTGTGACGAAGAACGAGACAACGCAAGTCGAAATATTGATTTACAAAATTGCTCAAATTATTACTCGAAGTATATACTTATGCTAATTTTCAGCAATTGAACATCCGCGCACAGTTTAGTGTGTAAAATATGCAAATTATACTATTCCCAATGTTTTGCGTAATAGACGCCTGTTAGAATTCGGGTGTCCAGTGTTGTTTATAATTTTTTATAGTTCCTGAGAATAATTAATATTCATTTGCTGTGATTTAGACGCATCATTTAAGTGCAGGGCAAAAGTGAGAGTGGAAAAACGCAAATGGAAGTCGCTCAAGATCTGAATATCCCTCTTCTTATCAATTATCTGGAATAGCTTTTCAAGCGGTGAATAAGTTGGTAAACTATCTGGAAATGCAGCAGAGAACAGTAATTACATCTGAAGTCATGAAGAAAGTTTTCTGTCATTGTCGACTCGAAGAAACTCAGAAATTGGTTTTACCTTCATTTTGTCACGTCGAATGAGCCATTCTACTGTTGTACGAAGGTTTCACGAGCTTGAACTTTTTGCGAGAAAATCCATGGTGTCTCTCTCCTTTTGTCTTCCAAAGGGGCCTTTTTGAGACGTCGTCGTCATCGTGTTCAACAGACCCAATACGAATGAAACAGTATACTGTTAACTAAGCAGTTCAGATTTTGACTGAACTAAGATTCTAAATACAGTTTGATCTGGAGGGAGTAAAGAATACACAGCTTTCTGTTCCTTGTTCATAAAATGTCCTGTTTTTACGAAATTGGTTTCTTAGTTTAGTGTACCATTATCGCAAATGGCCACATTGGCCTATATTATTTTTGATGAAGGTTCTGTAATCGGTCACATATATGTGGATGAGGTTTTTGAACTCCATTAAGCTTGCTTAGAAGTGTAGTTTAGCTTTTTGACAGTTTTGTGCCAAAACGTAGGAGATCATATTTGAAATTTCTTTTAAGTTTGACTTTAAATTCAATATTTTGAGAGTAGTCAACCGGAAATCTTCGTTATTGGGATTAAAAAGCGGTTTTTCTACAAAGTCTTTCAAATCGTTTTTAAATACGTAACGTGTAAGTTGTATTTCTGCCTTTTTATTTTGACATGTAATGCATGACGGGTTTCCGAAAAGTGAAGGAAATGCACACCACTTGAATGATTTAAGCTACTTACAACGCAGTCAGTAAGTAACCATAAATATTGTGACTTAATCTCACTTTTCTGGCAGTTGTATCAGATAAAGTCCATGAACTTTTTGTGGCTAAGAGGTGAAAACTGCGATTGTCGTTGTCTTGGGTCTTTGAGCACATTATAAGTAGGAACAGGTCCAGTTCCGTTCCAGTTTTCACGCAAAGGCGTGATTCGACTGTCATTTGCTTCCACCAACCGCTCAAAACAGCTTTCGACAGGTCCAGTTCCGTTCCAGTTTTCACGCAAAATCCACCAGAAGGCGGATTCGACTGTCATTTGCTTCCACCAACCGCTCAAAACAGCTTTCGACTCTACAGTATTTTAAATGCTCCAATATCGCAAAGACACTATATATTTACAAATATCCATTCTCCGGAATTCGAAGTCGGGTGCAAGGCAATGATAGCCGGTTTTCCTACCACTATGTCCATAGGGCGACATTTCCAGAAATAATACAGGTTATGGTGCTCAGTAATAAAATAATCATTAGCTATCGACATATGATGGAAAGACCTCCTGGCAAGTGTATAAAACACAATTTTCTATAGTTGCAGAAGCGAATGGATGGGATTCCCAAGCTAAGGCTTGTCATATCGCCGCTTCTTTGAGAGCAGATGCAGTGGATATCCTTCAGACTCTTCCCGAAAACTAAAGGCTAGATTTCGAAGCTCTATCCCGCTCATTAGAGCTGCGCTTTGGGGAGAAATGTTTGAAAGACTACAGTCGGCTTCAATTAAAATCGCGTCGACAGAAGCCCACAGAAAAGCTCCAGGAACTTGCCACGGACGTTGAAAGGTTGTCTCACCTCGTTTTTACGGAGCGCCTGAGAGAAAGGAGGGAAATCCTGTCCCTGCAGTACTTTATCGATGGCATCCGGGATCCCGAAATACAGAAGGCTCTACGAATGATGGATATTAAAGACATAAAAAGCGCTCTGTTGTACGCCGTGAAATTCGAGGCAGGCCAGCAAGCAACTCGTAGAGATCCTTACCCAGTCAGAGCTGTGTGACTCCCCGAGCCAGTGGATTAATTGATGGCTCAATTAGATGATTTATCCAGACTAGTCGATGCTTTGATACGGATTAGGAGTGAGAACAAAGTGGCTCTAAGGTGTTGGAGATGTGGTATTGAAGGTCACCTACGACGGAATTACAGAACACTTCAGGGTACGGAAAATAAAACAGATAATTGTACCAGATAAGTCAGTGGCTTGAGACGGGACAGAAATGAAAAGAAACCAATTATAAAGTGCTGGAACTGCGGTGTTGAAGGCCACATACGAAGAAACTGCAGAACACCCCAGACCACGGATAATAAGAGAGACGAGTTAAACAGACAATTAAATGCTAATGAAAGGAAAAAGGAGTGACAAGAAACCAAATGCTGGAACTGCGGAGCTGAAGGCCACGTGCGAAGGAACTGCAGAACACCCCAGAGCACGAAAATTGAGACCATTCCTCAGCAACGATTCAGGAAACAAATTAATGTCCATATCGAGGAACGGAGATTGCCAAATAATGAAAAACCTTGTTTTAAAGCGTTCAATATTTCTACAGTGAGTGGCAGCAGTAATGGACTGACCATCAATGGGCATATCGATGGAGTTCCTTACAAATATGATCATTGACACAGGAGCTAATGTTACCATCATTCGGAGAGATTTAGCTCAACAGTTTAAAGATGAACTTATTTGGACGCCGTCCTGTGTTACCCTTCAGACTGCGTCGACATAGCTGGGACGTTAAACGTAAAGATCACGTTTGGAAGTGCCGCATAACATCACACGGCATATATGGCACATATTGCAGATCCGTGCATACTCGGATTGGACTTTTTAAGGAAATACAATTATTCCTTAGCCTTCAAAAACAACAAACTGCTTTCAGCATCTGAGGACATGACTACCTTCCTCAAAAGGGATCTTCGCCTGGAAACGCCGACGTCTCATGTGAAAGACACAGCTCACAAAGCTGCCGAAATCAAACTAGGGTCGAAGAGGAACACCAGACTACCAGCTATTCTCCATCCTAGATGCTCTTCAGAGTCGAGACACCTTCGTCTGCCTTGTGACCGGCTGTTTGGTCGCCCTACGGATGCACCTTCATCGCCTGAGGAACACATCCGAGATGTCCAGGCCCGGATTAAAGGGATGCACCGTTCTGCACGACAGCGAGTCAACTTGGCGACGAAGAAAGTGAAGACCCGATGCGACACAAGAGCTACTGGACATCAATTCGAAGGAGACAAGGTGTGGTTGTGGAACCCGATTCGACGAAAAGGAATCAGGACTAAATTACAGTCACCTTGGGATGATGGACACAGTTCTAAACAGGATGAATGATGTCGTGGTTCGGATCCGTAAGTCATCGAACTCTAGATCTAAAGTCGTTCATTACGACAGGTTAGCTCATTACTATGGTTATAGTACGTAGCGTAAATAATTGTATATAGTGTAAGACCATGGTCCTTTTTGTTTCTAAATGTGTATTTGATTTGACTTGCACTTAATATTTTATTTGCATTTAGTATTTGATAACATTTGATTTGTTTAAGAAACAGCTCTTGTTGACTGTAGCGAATTCGCGGATTAGCTTTCTCTAGCTGTTTTGAATTAAATTCTGTTGAACGTTTGAGTAGTTAGATAACTACTGTGAGATATTGTAATACTGAATATCTGAGAAAATTTAAGCATCTTGTTTTATTTGTTGTGATAATAATAAATCTTGTTCATTTTTCATCGGACTTGTGCATCCAATTCATAACGAACCCGTACGCAAGCAACAATATTTATTTTCTATTTATTTTCATGCAATTTATTTTAATGGAAATATGCTTTTTAGTAATAAAAATTATTATAGCGAGCGAACTTAAAAGTCATCCTTGACATAAAAGCAACTATGAAGAAATTTAATATCAAGGTATACTCGACAGAAGCGTTAAAAGGGTTAAAATACCTTTTCGTAACCTGGAGAGCGTCCTAGCGAACGTCTCCTCCATGTCCCTTACGAAAACCGAATCTGTTGCTGCAGAACCTTCTCCCAAGTCCGAAGCGGAGGAGCGGTCATAGGAAGCAGATCTGGACACCTGCCCTCCAGGATCAGAGCTGGGACTTTCCCTCCTCAGGTTCCGTGAAGACCTAGTTTCTGGCATCGTATTCATACCAAGCATGTTATCGTAACTGTGTGGTTGTTTGTTCGATTGAGAGCGTAAAGACATTTGAAACTCACATGGACAACTTGATGTACAAACCGTCGAGCCACGGCATAATCCTAAAGCAGGAAAATGGCAAAATGTGCATTTCATGTAAACACATAATAAGGAAATAATTTAAATAATTAAACCAATAAAAGGAACAAACTCAGTAACAGAGGAAATGTTTAATATACTAAATCAAAATTAAAGCAAAACAAATTAATTTCATGAAATAAATTTGAAAAATTAAAAAGTGACTAGTTTCAAAAGAAATTAATTGAAAGTAATTTAAAATAAAGCAATATTTATCTGTATTTTGCCAATTTATTAATCTTACTTTTGCATGCGTTTGCAAAAATATACAGAAATTCATACTGATTTAACAATATGGAAAACGTCCTTTTTATAAAGCAGAAGGATGCTGAATTAAACCAATATTGTAAGACCATTATAGTTGTACCAAAAATGAAGGATATCCGCAATGAAAAAATAATCAAATATTTGCATAAGATGGTGAAATTATTAGACTTTAAAAACATTCAGAGGCCATTTTTATGCATATTAATCCCATTACGTGAGAGGAAAGCAGCAAACATGATAGAAATATATATAATGTAATGCATGCTACCGAAAGCAAATATAAAAAGACATTATGGATGTATTTACTTGAGTATCAATAACTTATAAAGTTTTTATCGTTTATAATATTAATTTTGAAATATATTTCTGAAATGTTTAGCTATCTACTAACTTTTATATTATTATAATAGCATTATTTAAATAAAATCCCTTAATATGAGTTTCAGACTATTGCATCAATGTACTCGTATCTTATGATGACTTTTGTTTTGAAATTGCATTTCCCTCCCTCTCCCCATGCTCTTGAACTTCTCTTTTCTATTTTTTTCCATTTTTAAAATTTGTATGCTGAAAATTTGATGTGTTTTATTGGAAAACTCGGTTAGTCTGCTTCTGATTTTTCAACATAGCTTTTAAGCAATGCCGCATAATTTCCGAATCTCAGATACATTGAGCAGGAGTATAACACAAGTGTACTCTAGTAGCAATTTTACTATGATTAATGAAAGCAAAAATAAAGAGAAATTATTTCTAATCACTATCTGCTAAATAAAGAAAGTAATCGTAAGATATTCCTAATTACCAAATAAAGAAAAATGATCGCAGAGTATCCCATCGCAAACTACTCCATTAACGAAATGAATGTAAGCAATGAAATAATCAAAGCATGTTGAATAATACACCCCTGCTCAAAAAATAAGCAACAAAGGCAAAAAACGGAACAAAACGAAAGCTATTCAATGGATAAGCGTGAAACTGATTCAAGAGGTTGGCGTGGCATTACTAGACTACATAACAAACAATAAAGCAAATACATGCAAAAATGCATGTATTACGACCATCATGCCATGAAAGACCAAATGGGTCGGATGATTATGTAATGGAAACATGCATACCTTCTACCTGAAATGCATGCTTGACAACAGCGAGACAAGCTGGCAATAGTGTCGTTGATCACTTGTTGTGGTAGTAGCGCCCATTCCTGTAGTAATTCATATCGGAGCTCGACCACTCCGACCTGCTATCCATCGTCCCAACATGTCTCACACATGCTGTAAGGCATTCAAGTCAGTGATCTAGCTGGCACGCCCGGTGTGGAATGTTTTACTCTTCAGACAACTCCACACCGCTTGAGTTCTATGCGGACGGGTTTTAACATCTATAAATATTGCTTCGTACGCAAAAGGACGCACACGAAGGTGTAGAATTTCGTTGGGATATAGTGCGATTGTGACAGAACCACCAGGAATCACGTAGAGACCGTTCGTTGCTATTCCATCCCGTACATGGAAGCCTCTTCCTCTATAATGGTCTGTTCAACGATGTTTGGCGCCCAATAGCATGTGCTCGACTCTCGCGTATCACTGCCTTTTGGGAATCATTATGCATGTTAAATCGAGATTCAACCGTAAAGAGTACGTGGCCCCACTGCTCTGGTGACCAACTGTGATGTTCACGTGCACAATTCAACCGCGCTCTGACCGCGCACGAGTGTATTTATCTGTTTCTTCCTAGTAAAATAGTAAATCTTTAAAGAATAAATAAATATGTAAAATTTCATCTCGCATATTCTAGTTTAATACTTGAGAGTGTCATAAGCTGATATCTTCTGCAATGCGAAACCTAAGTCCGTTAAGCAATCCTTTTTACGATAAGCATCAGAACTGAAAAAGAATTAAAATTCTACTATTCGTATTTTGAAATGCAAATTTGCTATAAAATGTTTAAAATATTTCATTTTTCGTTAAAATAATAACCTTTAAGACTATTTAGTAAAAAATAAGCCTCTCAAATAAAATTTTTCAAAAAGGCAATTGCAGTTTATATTGTGTTTTTAAATTTTATTGTTTTAAATCTTTTATGTCGCGAAACAGTCTCTTTAGATAGGACTATTAGAAAGGAATTTTGTATTGGAGTTTAATAAAATACGCTGTTGGAAAAATCTCCTGTTAATTATAGTAGTTGCATAAATGTTAAAAAATCTTGTTGCAGAAATATTATTAAAACTTTAGCAATATTCGCAATTAGATTAGTTATTCTGCGGTTCTAAAGCAAAGGATTATTGAATTGCAGAAATATGAGAAGTCTTATGATCTAGGGATTAATGAGTCTTTTTTTTATCAAAGCGTTTTTATATTTCCTTTTATACAAATATAAAGAATATTGGCTTGAAATGCGCTTTTACATTCTTAATTCATAATACTCTCTTTTAGCCTAAAAGCATTTGTTAAATACGTTCCTTAACTTTTCGGAAAAGGAGAAGAATGCTTACTAATATAGTATATTGAAATGTCACGAGGCGTGTACGTATTACGGATATACGTATCTATTAGAACATGTTTATTTTAAGGAAAGAATTTGTTTCTTTTAAACGTTTCTTTACATAATATACGTATCTTACCAGCAAACGGATTATCGTCCACAACTTCTTCGATTGTATCCGTTGATACGGATTTGTTTTCCCTGCGTAAAGAAACCTTCACGTGTCCTCCAGAATCTATCGTTGCGAATAATTCATCCTCTGTCAGAGTTTCTATATCTCTGGATACTCTTTTGTTCCTAATTTCCTGAAACACGGAAAACACAATTTTAAATAGATCTTGGTTAAACATCATAAGATAACTACATACAGTATCAACTTCATAAGCATCAATATTTTTTAAAGGGACTCAGTGTCTTTTCAATGATTTTTTTTTTATTTAAGACCTTCATATCTCTTTTATTTATATTATCAAATGGTTATTTCAGAAAAAATGATCCGAGGCTGAAAAAACATTTTTGGGGTATTTTTTATTAAAATGTTTTGAAGAAAAATTTAAAAATTATAAATTTCATTGTTTTTACCCCAGTTTTTTTTTTAAATATACTTATTAGAAAGTTCGTAACAACTTTAAACGTCGGTTTTGGAATTAATAAATTAGTTTCTCAGGAAAAAAGTGAAAAGCATATATAATGTAAAAATGTAAGCATGTAAAAGCTTTGAAAAAAATATTATTTCAGTAACATTTTCGCTTCCAATGATTTTTCTTTTCAGTTTTTACAAACTCACCCTTTTTTTCTGTTAAGCATATATTTATAAACATGCAGTAAAAATATTAAATAATTTAGTCCATATCTGTATAAGTTTTATGAATTTAAGTAAAAGGATTTATCGAAAAAAAGCAAACTCTCTAAATAGTCATTAAATCATTTCAAATTTCTCAGATATTTTTCTTATTGAATTTCAGAACAGATATATCTAAAATAAACTTAATACTATTCAGCTGTTGAACATAAATATAAATTACAAGTTTTTATTTGAGACCATATCTGACTGGAAATATTACAAGAAAAATCATAAGATACGAGTGAAATTTTCCTTTAACTGTTTGTTTTATAAAACACATTCAAACAATTATAATACAGGAATTCATTATAATTTATTTTCTAAAACATTTATAATCGATATTCATAATATTATTATATTACTGTTTTATTCCTGTTTTCAAAAAATAAAATTTGAAATTTGAACAGGCATAAAACTTTTCATTTAGAACTGCCCAGCATCAAACGTAATTTCTTATCTTCTTTTATCGATTTGTTCTCGTATATAAATTGGATTTTCAGTTAATTTAGAAGTATTTTAATTAATCAAAGCATTTAATGTTTATTCCAATACAGTTTTCGATAAGGAATTTGAACATTTTCACAGCCTTTTATAAAATTTTTACTGATCGTGTCTAGCACAAATAGTTTCCAGTTATAAAGAAACATTTCAAATTTAACTCATAATACACATAGAACTGTTTGCTAAACTGACGGGGTAAAAAGATCTGTAAATTCGAAAATGTTCGAATTACATTTAGTATTTAAAAATCAGTCAATTTGTACACATAAGAAGAGTTTGCTGATGGTTGCAGTCACATTTAATTATATTCCTCTTCTTCTATATTAATTTTAAATAAATAAATGAGACAACAAAGATGTAATTTAAAATCCACACTGAGGTGTGTGTGACATTTAAAGAGATGTCAAAATTCTTTAAATATTAATACAATAGGCATATTTTTAGCCCCCCCCCAAAAAAACGGAAAATCGCTAGTTTCCGCGATTTTTTTATCATGTTCTCTTAAATGTTTAATGCTGTTTAGTAACTAAGGATGTTGCTGAATTCATCAATTCATGTACAAATCGGAAAAAGTGCAAAAATGTTCCATATTTTAATTTTTAAACTATTTGTCTGTATTTTTTAAAACATTTAATTTTTTCGTTTTTATTGATTTCTTTCAATACACTCTGTCATTCCAGAAATATTTTAACTCAAGATTAATGAAATCTTAATCGCACAAGAAGTTTAATCACACTTGGGTGCAACCTGCCTATTTTTTTTGACATGCAGAAAAAATCCTTTTGCGGGCACCAACTGACTTGTTTGTACGGTCTATTAAATTATACACATTTTTTGGTGTACTTCGTTTAAATTTATTTCTCAAACTATTCTAACTTACTTAACCGATCTCTGAAGGTAAGTTGAAAATGGCATAAAAAATTGCAAATTTTGAAATTAAATATCCTTGTCAATTTTTGTCATATAGGAGTCAGACTTCTAATTTTATTTTTTTCATAATGAATATAAAACTTTTCCAAATATACGTATAGGAACCGGGAGATAGCACTGAAAGTTAGATTTCGATATTTGTCGAAAATAAAATTTTTCTCAAAATTTGACATTGCCAAAACATTAATATTTTCGTCATTTAAAACACTCTGTATATAGAATTATATGACTACGACTAACGATTGCAAAAATAAAGGGGTTTAAGGCCTTTTCAGTTTGTGAAAGGGGTGGATATACATATACGTTTGGTACTGCCGATTGCAATAAAAAAAGGGAGTTGCACAACTACATTCAAGTATACAAAATTTCAACTTTCTACTTCTAATCTTTTTTGAGTTATGTGAGACACATACAAATAGATACGTACGTACAGACGTCACGAAAATATCTCTTTTGAATACACTTTAAATCCATTTTACAGTCTGTTTTAGAAAAAAAAAAAATTTGTTTATTCTATGCGTACATACAGCCGTCAAGCAGAAAAAAAAAAAAAAAAAAAAAAAAAAAAATAATCGTTTTAATGGATTCGCGAACGGCGAAAATGGATACTTCCGTTGAGATATACCGCCCGAAATTTTTCGCGATTACCATATTTCGTGCAAGGTAGTGAAAGCGATCAACCGTACAGGAAATTGTTGGGTTTCCAGCCACAGCAGCTGTCTAGTTAGCGGTTGCTATAAGAATGGCTAATGGCCTTTAGATGGAAAATCTCGCTCAAGTCACATGGTGCTTTATAGAAGTGAATACATTTTCAGAAGATTTATTATCTTTGCTATAAGAAAACTACATTCTATTACTGGACTTTTATTTCTTTGCTTGATATTGATAACTGCCGAAAAATATACAGTATTCATATTTTCTCAAAAGGTAGGAACACGGCATTAATCTTTCTTTCAGTGGAATCAAGATTTCAGTTTGAAAAGTGAATCAAAGCAAAATGCAAAATGAAATTAATAGCCCTTCTGGGCTAATGCTCTTTGGGTTAACATTCTTGACGAATCATAAAAAGAGGGTGTGGAATAAAATTTATTGATGTAGCAAAATTTCCATTCACGAAAGTCGGAAATTAAATTTAGTCTTATCGGTTTTAAGTGTCTAAATAAGGGTCTATGAATTTTTAAAATGGATAGCTCTATCATAAACTAACAATTTCCAAAGAAACTTTCACAGTTTTAGGAGTGAGTTGAATCTGAAATCATTTTCTAAGCAAAGTTTTCGATGTTTATCAACCTGCTTGGTGCCCAAGGATCTTGCATATGACAAGCGCAATCTTGACTCCTTGCCATGATGAATTTCGTGTGCTTTACGATTCGGACAAGCGACATAAGTAACAACAGCAACAAAATATGTTTATTATTCCTGGTGATTTTCAACTAAAATATTAACCCAAACTGAAGCGATAACTGAACCATAAACATAGTATTGCAGGATAAGGTTATTTGTATCGGTCTCTAAAATCCAATTATTTACAAGGATCTAATGATACTTTATATTCTCCTTTGAAGAGCAGTTACATAGAGTAAAGTTCCGATAATCTGGCACCTCTTTCATCGACATTCCTGTTACGCAGTCAGCGCATTCAATCGCTACTGGATATTTATTATGCAGTATTCAGCAAAGACCTTCCCACTAGTGGCTTTGCATCTCCCTGGCATTTTAATTAGTCCTTTATTTAAAGCTCTACCAGTGGCAACGTGGTTCGATCTTGTATCAATCCTACACTGACAGGCCCACTGCACATTATTTTCGTGGCTTTTACGATGTGTAACGTGAATACGAGCAAGTTTCCCTTAGAAAATCCTCCATGAAGGTATACTTCTTTCAGGCAAACGAACGTTTCGTGCTTCGCCATATTCCGATAACCGATCACCAACCGTCGTTTAAAATTTCATCTGTACATAATTTACTTTCTTTACTTTTGTTTACCTAAAATGTTTTCAAAATCTAATAAAAAAGTATTGATAAGAAAGTAAATTGGAAGCCCGTGGCATTAACATGTCGTCAAACATTAAATGTTATTACTTGAATAGATTAAAAAAATAGCAGAATAGAAGGATTAGAAAGGAAGAATGTGATCTTAGATTTTCTATTATTTATAACACCAAAGAAATAAAATAAAGCTATGAAATTTTCTGCATGACATTCTACTTAAAGGCATTAATAATCTCCAAACATTAAGAAAAAGCTCGACCACATCGACAGTGTGTTATATATATGATTTAGAGCAGAGAAATCTGCTGTCTGTAAACCTGTAACAAGGATTTTACAAATGACATACTAGATCTGAATAGTTTAATTCTGTATTAGTTTCTTTTCTAATTTCTTTTAAAATAAGTAGTAAAATACTTTTGAGTTTATTTCACACAATATTGCTTAAATATCCCAAATAACTGCCAAAGTCAAGCAAAATCTTATTAGTAGTCCAATTACTTTGTTTGAAATTGAGATAAATAACATACCTTTAATTGCTATTTTAGAGTTAGAAACACCTTTAGCTAGGTAAATCGGATTTACCCAATACGATTGGGTAAAATTGGGTAAATCGGATTTACCCAATTTTACCAATCTTTCAATTTTATGAATACTACAGAGACTATTTTATTAGCAGCTTTCTGTAAAAAATTTAGTAAAATCCGTGAAAAATTCAGAATTCAGTAGAATTCGTCCTCTACTTCAATAAAACATGAATGTTAAATAACTTAAATAAATAAGCAAATTAAATTTAGTTTGTGAAAATGTGCGTAATGTATATTCTGTGAATATGGTAAAGATTTAAAAAAAATTGCACATCAGTATAGCAATAAAATACTTTTTGAGTAGATTTACTTTGTATCTGACTAAGTGATCGTTTGAACACCCCTTAACAATGAAATTATGATTTTGAATAGTAACGGTTTCCTCGAAAAGCCTCACGACATTCTATTAGATCTCTCTCCTTTCTGCATGCCATCGCGGTGTAACACTCGATGT